GAGCCCCGGGAGGCCCCCACGTGCCAGCTGCTTCCCCAGGGGCGCCTCTAATTGCCGGGCTTAGTTCTGTCTGGTCTCCGACTTAAAGTGGAATCGCCAATCGCCAATCGGAACCCTTTGCAGTACAGAAACAACCTAGGAGAGGTGGCCAGGACTCCCAAAGGACACAGCAGTGGTCCCGAGCCTGCCTGCCGCTAGCCCACCCCACCCTGTGCTTTGGTGCCAGGAGGCTCCAGGAAACAGACCTCAGAATAGAATGCCTGTTTCCACTGGGCCACCTCCAGCATCCAAAGCCCAGCATGGGGTGGGCTTCCCGGCCCTCTCCCCTGGAGACCTCTCACCTGCAGCAGGATGCTGCACAGATTCCCTACCTGGGCTGAGCCCTCAGGGATGACCAGGAGGACTCTTGGCCGAGGGAACTGTGGTGGGTCCTGGACCTTGAGGGCTCCCTGGAGGATCCCCCGAAAGGCTCCCTTGTGCCAAGCCCTGGGCTGAGTGCATGGAACCCACTGGTGACCTTGACGACTTGGGGAGTTTGCCATGGGCGGTAAAACAAGGTGGCCCCTTGGGAGCAGCACATCTGCGCTGCAGCAAGGAGGAGGCTCAAGGGGAAGGGGCTGTTTGGAGCATCTGCACCAAGAGCTGGCACAGGCTTTATGAGACCTGGGGGCTAGGAGGGAGGGAGGTGCCCAGGGTCCCTTTGCAGGATTCTTGTGCAGCTATCGTCCACTGTGACACTGGCAGTCCAGAGAAGAGACTAGCACCTTCCCATGGGCACTTGCAGGACACTCGTCAGCCTGGTCCATCCTCATACCCGCACAGGACGGTCTTCCCTCCCAGCATCTCTGCTTCCTCAGCTTTCCAACAAACCAACAGGGAGGAGGCAGAGGCAGCCAAGGTGGGGACAGATGGCTCTGCAAGGACCCTGACCAGGTCCCTGGGTTGGTTCAGTGGTCCAGCTGGTCCCAGCCCTGCCTGCCAGGAGGTAGGGGACCTGGGGGTGGATGGGCTTCAGGGCTCTCATTCTCTACAACCAGCAGCCCCCTCCTCGCCATCTGGGTTTCCACGGGGATCTCAAACCCTCAGCTAGCTCTGGGCAGTTTCCCACGCACTGTACCCAGAAATGCCTACCCTTGGCTCCAGGAAGGTTCCAGGTACCTGAGTCCTCAAAACCTGAGGTCAGGTCCTAGCCCTTCTGCCTCAAGACCTCAGAGTTCTGGCTCCATATTCTGTAGGCTCCAGGTCATCCTTCACCACTGGGGTCCCCCTGCATCAGCAGCCCTCTGACTGCCCTCAGTAGCCACAGGGCTGAGGACGTGGGCTCTGGAGTTCTTTGTTACCATGCTTCCAGGTGCGGTCTACCTGTCTGAACCCTGGCCTCGTGGCCCTTAGCGTTAGTGTGATGGCACTGGAGGCACACATCTGCATGCCAGAGCCGCGCTCCGGGCTCTCCGTCCTAGCTCGCCAGAGGGACATCTCTCCCAGCTCTGCTCCGAGGCTGTGACTTCCTGGGTCTCAGGAAAGCCTCTCTCTCCTGGTGACTGCAAATCCAGAAGAATCGGTGGGGACCCTGGCAGCTTTCAGGGCTTAGGATTGGGGGTTCGGGGACAGACTCCAGGACAGGCAGTCCCCACCAGGGGCCAGCCACAAGCTCCTCTCCAGGCAATCTGCCCACCCACAGCCCTCACAGAAAGGGTGGGCCTGGTATGGGGGACATATCATTCTAGGTGGTGTCATGCCCTGGACGTAGCCAGCTGGGCCAAGTGTGGCCACTCAGCCCAGCTTAGCCAATCAGATTTGCTCTCCTGAGAGTTGCAGGAGAGGCAGCAACCCCTATGGGGGCCTGAGGTCATGGAGAGTCACTTAGCAGATCTCCTTGTCATGTAGAGCAGGGACAAGGAGATCTGTTAAAGCAACCAGTCAGTGGAGAGGACCCCAGAGCAGAGCAGGAGGGCAGGAGGCAGGCTACAGGGCAGCTTCCCATGCAGAGCGCTCTACTGCATGCCTCAGTTCCCCAGGGACCCTTCTCTCTGACCCATCTGCTCCTCCACCTCAGCCAGGCCCCAGGCAGATCCCAAGCCTGAGCTGGCCCTCCCTCTGTCCCAGCTCAGTGCCACAGGCTGTTTATCTGGGCCTGAGACAGCCCAGCCGACCTCCTGGCTCCCTGGTGTCCCCTAGCTGGGGAAGCCTGGGGTCCCTCAGCCAGGCACAAGAGCCCACTAGCCAGGGCGGCCCTGCCCCCATCATAGTCATAGGACGCCTTTGGCTTCCTCCCCAACACACTCTCTACCAAAGCAGGCAGCAGTTAGCCCGCACACATGTTTTGTTTGGCTGAGCACAGTATTTAAAAGAATTTGAATGGGTTGCCAATTTTGAGAAGTCAGGAGATTTTACATAAAAATCCAGATTTCTGGCTTCTCTTGACAAACCAGAGGAGCCTGGAGGCTCTGGAACCGTGTTCCTGAAGGCTCCAGTCCCTGAGCTGTGTCCATCCTCGACCAGCACAAAGCCAGCCACCAGCCGCCAGCCACAGTCCCCACCACTCCCTACCGTTCACCCCACCCTGGAGACAGTTGAGTTTCTGACCCCAAACCAGCCCTTCTGGGATCTGTTCCTGGGGACACCCTCCCGTTGCTGACATCTCACCCTCTTTCCAGCCCCCAGTTGATGTTGCTTCCTTCTGGGAGGCTCCCTGTTGCAACATGTCCAAATCCCAGAGGCACCACCGCTCCACGCCCCCATCCTGGGGGAGGCCTTTGAACTGCCTTATCATTTTCAACTCGGATGGCTTCAGGGACAGGTGATGACCAGAGCTCTCACTTGCTGAGAGCTCTGCTTTCCATAGCTGGTCTCACGTCACCCTCGCACCCAGGCAGCAGTGTCCAACCCCAGATGGCAGCCACTGGCCACTGCCCCACAGAGCCCTGGCAACGTGACTGGTCCAGAGAGTGCCCTTAGGCTGCATAAGGAGCACTCACACCTGACCCTGAGGACTTAGTATGGGGGAAACAAGGTAAAATAACTCACTGATTTTTTTTTTTTTTAAACAGTGATCACAAGTTGAAATGGAAACATGTGAAATGTTGGGTTAAGGGGCTGGGGTTATGGCCCAGCAGTAGAGCACTCGCCTAGCACGCGTGAGGCCCTGGGTTCCATCCTCAGCAACACATAAAAATAAATAAATAAAGGCATTGTGTCCAACTACAACTAAAAAATTAAAAAAAAAAAAAAGAAATGTTGGGTTAAATAAAATACATTATAAAATTCATTTCGCCTGCTTGTTTTTAGTTCTTTTGTTTAATGTGGCTACTCAGAAAGTTAAAATAACAAAAGACCTACAGCAGAACTTTTCTGAACAATCATTGTCCCTATTCTATTCTTTTATTGGTCCTAGGGGATGGAACCCAGGAAGCTCTACCACTGAGCTACATCCCAGCCCTTTTAATTTTTTTTTTTTAGTTGTTGATTGTCCTTTATTTATTTATTAACTTATATGTGGTGCTGAGAATCAAACCCAGTGCCTCACACATGCTAGGCAAGCACTCTACCAACTGAGCCACAACCCCATTATTTTTTTCTTTTGAGACAGGGTCTCGCTAAGTTGTTGAGGCTGGCCTTGAACTTGGGCTTCTCCTGCCTTAGCCCCCCAAGTACCTGGATTACAGGTGTGCACCACTATTGCTGCCACCATTGTCCACATTTTATAGCTGAGGATACTGAGTCTGTCTCGGAGGATAGAGAGAATTTCTGAAGGTCAAGCAGAGGTGACAGGCCTGGAACGGGATCCCAGCTCCATAACCCTCCAAGGCTGTGTCCCCAACCACCAGGCCACAGCACCCCCATGGTACCTGGCACAATAACATGAATCAGTCCTGCCCATCGTGACCTAAGTGCCCCCTTGCACCTGCCCTCACACTCTCCAGGGGCGCCCCTCTCCTGGGAGCATCCCACTCAGATGACCCTTCTGCTGGGAGAAGGCAGAGCCTCTCTGCCCACTGCCTCCCAACCCCAGGCCTGGCCACAGAAAGGCTGCCCCTCCCAGGAAGCAGCTGCAACCTTGAACCCCCCTCCCACGTAGGCCCAGCCTTCCTGGGAGCCCGTCCAAGCTCGGGCAGCTGCCTAGGCGCTGCTGGGGCTGGACCCCCTCATAAGTGGTCTGGGGAAGGGCCGAATTTGGCCT